AAAAAAAAAAAAACCCATAAGAACTCTCGAGAATATTCGACAACTAAGTAATCAGCTGATGAAACAAGCTGTATGAATAATACACCTCAGCTTTGGTAAAGGGCCAGCAACTTCTAGTCATTACATTCTACTTAATACCACTCGTATTGGCATCAAATAGCTTGTATCACGATTTAAGTCAAAATCACAAAACATACTATACTGCACCTTCATAGCTGGATTTATGCACGAAGCCCACCACTAATATTACCATACGGATTGAAAGACGATCTCATGAACTTGAAGTAACATTAACATACATGATTCCAAGATGATACTATACTAAGCTTCGAGAAAGACACATGCTTAACCCTACGAACCCTTTTTGCCCAATAACAAACACATTAGAACTGAACTAGCAATTATATCCAATGAAACTTAAAGAGGATTAGCAAATGCTCACCACTGGTGTACGAACAAGTCAACCCCACAGCAAATGCAAGCGACACGGTGAACACCCCAAGGAGGATATAATTCACGGGATGCTTCTGATAGTAGGAATACAGCGGGCACAGAACTACAATCCAACCAAAAAAAAAGAAAAACATCAACAGACTCAAAATCCAAAAGTCCCATTCAATCAATTCAGCAAAAATTGGGGAAGAAGAGGGCAAAAACAAAACCCTACCGACAAAAGGGGTGATGATCAGAATAATGTTGACCACCAAACCAGCCCTAGTGGCGGAGAAGAAATGCGAAATCGGTTCAACGGTGACCACAAGAGCAGCGACGGCGATGGTGAGAAGCAGCTGAACACTGACGATGGAGTATATTTTGCGGATGAAAGACCACCGGAGCTCGGGGCTCTCGAGCATCATCGGGTAGAGCGGCTGCCGGGCGGACTCCACGTCATCTTTCCGGTAAGGGTGGGCCCACATGTTTCGAGGAATTCAAGGTGACTCTCGCCGCCTCACGGTGCTGATTTCTGCAATTCGATGAAAGTTGTTCAGACTTCAGATGGTTGATTTTTTCTTCGGTAGGTCGATTTTGAATTTTGATTAATTAATGGCTAAGTAACAAAAAACAAAAACAAAAAAAAAAAACGAAAATATCGAATTATTGTGGGTTTGGGCCGGATTTCAAAAGGCGTGTTACATTTTATTGGAAAGTCCCTTACTAGCATTTGTCCTTTATGGGTCGGGTTCTTTGCAGACCCAAACCATGCACTGAAGAATTAATGACATCTACTATCTATTTGTTTAAACAGTTTAGATAATTATCCCAACCTATTATTTAGATAAAATTACCTCTTTTGTTTCTAATAACACCTTTTTTAGAAGTTCTTTTTTGAATTGATAACTGATTGGTTTTTCTCTCTCCTTTATCCTTCTCTCTCCACGAAGTTGCTTCCTTCTTCTTCTCTTTTTCTTATCTTCCATTTTTTGTTATTTTTTTTTTCTATTCATGATTTTAATTTTTTTTTTCAAAATTGCACTATTGATTTTCCTTCTTCTTCTCCTTTTTTTTCCACGAAGTTGCTTCCTTCTTCTTCTCTTTTTCTTATTTTCTATTTTTCTTATTTTTTTTCTATTCACGATTTTAATTTTTTTTTTTCAAAATTGCACTATTGATTTTCCTTCTTCTTCTCTTTTTTTTTTCTTTTGTGTGAAATAGATTTTTTCTAATACGATTTTCTAAT